CGCCCCACGACTGTGAAGCCCAAGACCACCACGCGTGCCCCCAAGCCTACATCGAACTCCCCCTCGACGACCAGCCGTAAGCCCTCGCCTTCCCCCGCTGCTGGCACCACCGTCAAGGACCAACTGATTCACCAGACGAACAAGATCCGTGCCGCCCACGGTCTGGGCCCCGTGACCTGGGACGACGCCTTGGCGTCCAAGATGCAAGACTGGGCCAACACCTGCCCCGGCTTCCAGCACGGCGGCCCCACTGGCTGGCAAAACTTGGCCTCTAACACGCCGTGCGGCACCAACGGCAAGGACTGCATGAAGATCGTCGGGGCGTCCTGGATGTGGTACGACCAAGAAGAAACCAAGTGGAACTACGCGAGCAACTCGTGCAACGGCGACTGGTCTACGTGCGGCCACTTCTCCAACATGATGAGCCCCGAAGTCAAGTCGATCGCGTGCGGGTGGTCGGAGTGCGTCAACGGCAACTACGTCTGGTGCAACTACAACACGCCCGTGAAGTACCCCAAGGTCCCCAAGATCGCCGGCATGTCCAAGGTGGAGTTGAAGGCGAGTTTGACGGCGTAGTCGTCGAATTGCTGCCTGAATCTGTGGAATCGCGTAGTGGTGACCCAATGCCCCGGCGCGCCTTCGGACCATGCCGTCATTGCGGTCGGCTACGGCACGTCCTCGAGCGACTACTTCAAGATCAAGAACTCGTGGGGCGCTCAGTGGGGTGACAACGGGTACATCTACTTGCAGCGAGGCGTTGGCGGCAAGGGAATGTGCAATGTCGCCGAAAGCGTATCGTATCCGGAGTTGGTTCACTCGCCAGCCCCAACAACTAAGCCCCCCACTCCTTCGACCAGGAAGCCCACCCCCGCGACCACTAAGCGTCGCTGCAATAAGCGTCGCAGGACCAAGAAGTGCAAGACAAAGAAGCCCAAGTCCAAGAAGCCCAGGACCGCCGTGCCTTCCACCACGCAAGCGCCTATGCCTACGTCGAAACCACCCTCGCCGTCCCCCGCTACTGGCACCACCGTCAAGGACCAACTGATTCACCAGACGAACAAGATCCGTGCCGCCCACGGTCTGGGCCCCGTGACCTGGGACGACGCCTTGGCGTCCAAGATGCAAGACTGGGCCAACACCTGCCCCGGCTTCCAGCACGGCGGCCCCACTGGCTGGCAAAACTTGGCCTCTAACACGCCGTGCGGCACCAACGGCAAGGACTGCATGAAGATCGTCGG